TACGTTGTATCCCATAGCACATTATTAGGTAAAAAATGTAGATTCCATTTTTCTGTCCAAATATATCAACTTCTCTCCAAAAAATTTTATTCACAAGTTTAATTAGCTAAGGTTTGTTTTCCAAATGTCATTTCAAAACATATTAAAATCTAATTAATATACTTAATTTCACTGCACTAAAACATAGGGTAATATTGACAACCTTATTAGTTTTAAAATGGTGATCTCCATAAAATACAAAAATGAAGTATCTACTCAGTTTGTTTCGTATAGGAACGTTTGCTGACTGAATATTGAGTGAACTACTACTGCCATCTAGTGTTGGAATTCATTATCTTCAAGCCATAAAAATGCACAAAAAATAACACCAAGATTGTAGTATGTTTTTCAACTTAACAACACAATGCCATTACACAACAAAATGCATGGCATAACTATTTCTATGTCATCATTACAGCATTTATTGGAATTTCAAAATGCCAACAATATGATATAAATTCCCCAAATAAAATTGTAACTAGTTAATATGATGGACATTTTTTACCAAATTTACTTGATATCTGTGGCAAACAGACTCAGGGGGCATGCCTTCTGGTGGGACCTGTTACTTAACTTGTAACCAATAAAATATGTAAAGATGATGGGATATCACAAATGTCAAGCCCATGATTACATTATATATAAATGTATATACCGTATATTAATACACATATATATGAATGCAGTCACTCACACACATACATATCCATCTTGCTAGCATGCACTAGGGAGATTCTCCTTGCTGACTTGATAAAGGGAGCAGCCATGTTGAGGATACTCGTGTGGCAAAGAATTGTGGGCAGCCACTAGGAATTGTGGGCAGTCTCTAAGGAACAACTTGTGGTCTCTATCACCTGTGGGTGGCCTGTAAGACCTGAAGGTGGTCTCCAGCCAACAGCAGCAGAAAGGTGGGGCCTTCAGTCATACAATCACAAAGAAAGAAATGAATTTTACCAATAATATGAATAATCTTGGGAGTTGATTTTTCCCAAATTGAGTCTCTAGATGAAAACCCAATCTGACTGACACTTGGTGAGATCCTGAGCAGAGGACCTAGTTAAGCATTCTTGGACCCCTGACATCTGAAAACTCTGAGATAATAAATGTGTTTTGTTTTAAGTCACTAAGTTTGTGGTAATTTGTACACAGAAACTAAACCAACATATAACAACATGGTAAGTACGTTGTATTTTAATGCTCGATTAGAATATTCCATTTTGCAAGATTTAAAGCCTATGTGTGGATTAAAAAAAGGTGTTTTTAAAAATCCCTTAATTGGATATCAAATATTGTGTTTAACATATGCAGGTGGTAATCTTCTTGGGTGATTTACCAGTACAGGAAAAATTTGCATCCTAATATCATCTATAGAAAAAGCTAAAAATTATACATCATAACTTGCTGCTTCTTTTAAGTAGACAAAGAATGGAAAAGACAATACTGAGTTAATGGTTTTTTTAGTAGAAATAATGAATGTGAAAGATGTATGTCTCACCATGTAAAAAGTGTATAAAATCAATATTATTTGGACATCAAAAAATAGTGGTCTTAATTATCTGTAAAATGAGTTAGTCATCTTTCTAAAACAAAGAAGAAACTGATAGAAATTCCACTAGAGCAACTTGGTAATTTCTAAAGCTTTCCATAAAAACGCAGTATCTTCTACCACATAAGCCCTGAGAAAAATACATCTAGAATATCATCATTCAATTTTGAGTTAAGCAAAGCAGTGGGAAGATAACTGCCAGATGTGTGATTCTACAACTAGAATCACAAAACGGCACACTGGAGGCTATAAGTGTCAGCATTAACGCACTTTGAGTCAAGCAGTCTTGTCTTCAGCAAACCACGGAGCAAATGAAACTGAATGAAGCCTGTGGAATCTACAGGTCCCAAAGCAATGGTTGGAGTTCCTGATCCAAGAACCTCCATAGTATTCTCAATTTTCAACCAGGAATGAATAAATGACCTTTGCAAACTTCAGGGCTTTTGCACATTTTGCTTCTCTGTCATTTAATGGAAGCTTGTATAGCTCAGGCTCCCAGCAGGCAGTGTTCCATTTTGCACAATTCTGCCTACTGCAGGAAAGTAATAAAGGAATATACTCTGGGATGGTTTTCTCTAGGATCAAATCTGGAAGGACTAAATTGATGTTTCTACAAAGTGGGACAAGAAAAGGACACAGAGGATGGCCTACCTATTTTTGTGTCAGTCACAGAGTTAGGCATCTTTACTTGTGCTGTATTACATCTTTTAAAATGCTTGAAATATTTTACTACAATAATGATGCTAGTTAACAGTTGTTCCGTGCTTACTGTGTCCCTGTGCTAAGTGCTTTAATGCACTATCTTACTAAACCCTTAAAATAAACCTATGCACTGTAGTTGTTGTTGTGTGCTGTTGAGTCAATTCCAACTCATAGCAACCCTACAGGGTTGAACTGCCCCCACAGCGTTTCCAAGGCTGTAATCTTTACAGAATCAGATTGCCCCATCTTTCTCCCTTGGAGCAGCTGGTGGGTTTGAACTGCTGACCTTTCAGTTAGCAGCTGCATTCTTAACCACTGCACTGTCAGAGCTCCTACCTATGCACTAGGTACTATTATTATACTCACGTTATGGTAAGGAGCATGAGGCTGACAGAGAATGATAACCAAAACCAGAAAACCAAACCTGTTGCCGTGGAGTCAATTCTGACTCATAGCCACCCTATAGGACAGAGTAGAACTGTCCCATAGGGTTTCCAAGGAGCAGCTGGTGGATTCCAACTGCCGACCTTTTGGTTAGCAGCTATAGCTCTTAACTACTACACCACCAGGGCTCCCGAGGATAATAATCAGTATGTTAAAGTTGAACCATGCCTATTTATTCTTATTTATATTCTTACCCACAATACTACAGAGGCTCCCAGTGTACGTGCTGTGTGATGGGCAGTGAAGAGATACAAGGAAAGCCATAGTCAGAATATTTGTATTCTCAAGTACAAACCCATGGTATACATACTGGTAATAATAATGTTTGTTTAATCAACAGAAATTTGTATGGTATATTACAGTTTTCAAAGTGCTTTCCATAAGTATTTCCTTTACTCATCACAAGAGTCCTGCTTAAGGTGGGTGGGTATAGCAATGTCCATAGGAATTTGGGCTCTGGGTTCTAATAGGCCTTGATTTAAATCCTAGCCTGAAAGGTATTAACTCTAAAACCTTGGGCAATCTGTGAAAGGTAGTAACACTGTATGTCTTAGGCTGGGTTCTCTAGAGAAGTAAAACCAGTGAAGCATATATACACGTGTGTGTGTGTGTGTGTCTGTGTGTGTGTGTGTGTGTGTGTGTGTGGAGAGAGAGAGAGAGAGCGAGCAAGAGAGAAAGAAGTATCTTAAGGAAATAGCTAACACTGTTGTGGATGTTGGCAAGTTTCCATAGTCCATGGGTCAATTGTTGGCTGGAGGTTTCTCCTGACTCATGTGGCCGCGGGGACTGACAAACCCAGAATAGGCAGGTCAGACAGCTGGCTGCTAGCTCACAGGGCTATGGAAGCCTGCAAATCTCAAATTCGGAAGATCAGGAGACAGGCTGCTGGCTCTAGTCCCAAGAACTGGAGTCAGATGATGACAAGTCAGAAACAGGATCCAGAGCAAGCAAGTGAGCTTTGCCAGAATGTCTGTGTATATATATATATATATTATATATATATATATTATATATATATTCTCTCTCTCTCTCTCTCTCTATATATATATATATATATATATATATATATGGTGCAGGCCACACCCCCAGGGGAAACTCCCCTTACAACTGATTGGCTGATCACAACCCATCACATTATGGAGGTGATTACATTATCTCAAAAAATGGAGGATAATTACATCAGATCATAAAAGGTAGGATAATTACAAAATACAGAGTACCATGGCCTAGCCAAGTTGATACATAACATTACAGGGCAGATGTGAAGGTAACATGTCATGAGCCGCCCTAAGGTATACAGTAAGCACAAGCAATAACTGTTAGAGATCCTTGCATTATATATAATGAATTGCAGTTACCAGGAGTTAAGAGGGGCATGGGCCATAAGGTAAGGAGTGGAGCTCAAGTTTTCTGACTCTAAAAGCTTTCTTTTCATCCCCTCAGCTGCTCAAAGGTGTAGGATATACATTTTTCAATACCTAAATCCTCCTCCCCAAAACACTTAGTTCAGCTGAAGGCCCCTCGTCTTCTGTATCCCCTCACCTCAGGGTAGGAGTGGTAGAGTCCAAGTAAACTGCCTTAAGCGTTGCCAAATTGGGCAGCAGAGTTTAGCAGTGCAAACCCCAACCTTGGCCCCACTTCCCCGCCTTCAAAACCTGCGTCACAAGCCCTGTAAGAACGTTCACGGGGCACCTTGTTCCGGGCCAGAACCCGCCTCCAGGCATAGGGAGAACGACCTGGAATCCCATTGGCTGTCGCCCGAGGCAACCAAAGACGCGGTGGGCACGCGGGGGCACGCGGGGGCCCCTGGCCGGTATTTAAAGGCTGCCGCGACCCCGCACCACCTCATTCCGGCCAGGATGGTCACCGTGAAGCACCTGGTTTGAGAGGGAGCCCCAAGGTAACGCGTAACCCCTGCCTCCCTAGTCCCCAACCCGCGCCTCTTCGGAGGCGGGCGTGTGTGGGATCTGGGAGCGGGTCTCACTGCGTGTTGCCCACCAACACTTTCCTCCCCCACCATCCTTACCCAGCCCCAGTCCCACTCAACCCACCTGGGCAAGACAACCCTGGTGCGAAGGACAAGAGATTGCGACGAAAGAGCGGAAAAGAGGAGGGGCCTCCTGGAGAGAAAGACGTGATCCTAGTGGCAGGCACGTTGCGCTGAGCGGAAAGACATAGGTGACAGGAGTCTCCAGACCGTCGGATCTGGCCGAACTTGACGACAGCTTCTAGGACATTACCGTTTAGACCTTTCAGGGGTCCCTGAACCATGACCCAGACCCTCAACAAAAGGGAGGACCCTCTTAACCTGGGCCGCGGCTGGGCATCCTCGGCCCGGTTACGCAACTGGTCTTCATGTCACCGAAGGCGCAGGGGCGCACCGATTTACAAGCGGCGACACCGTTATGGCCCCAAGGCCGAATATGAGCCCCCAAGGAAACAGCCGAAGCAACAGCGCGGCCCGGGCCCTTGGTTCCAACCACCCCGAGAGCCCTATTGGGCCGTGTACTCCAACCAGGGGCAGTGGGGAGGACCCTGGCACCTGCCCCCAGCGGGATTCTGGAAGGCCCCTGGTCGGGTGCAAATGATCCGGGTGTATGGACTGCACCCGCTCTGCCTTTGCTGCTGCTCCTGTTGGTGCGGACCCCGGAATCCCCGCTGGACGAGGCCTTCTGGCAGGAAGAGGAGATGGGGCCGCAGAGGCCGCGGCCTACGCCGCCACCCTCGCCGCTCCTGCCAGAGGAGCCCGCCTGTGGATCTGAGCATGCTGCTGCGGCCAGTCAACCTGTATGGGTGGCGGGCGCCCGGCATGCGCGCGCCGCGTAACACCACCCAGTTCATCATGAACCAGATCTATGAGGACATGCGGCAGCAGGAGAAACTGGAGCGCCAGCAGGAGGCGCTGCGGGCACAGCAGGTTCAGGCGGGCGGCCCAGCCTCCCCAGCGGCCTCCTTTGGAGACAACGCGCCACCCAGCGTCGGCGAGGAAGACGCGGAGCTGCAGGAAATTTTGTACAGCTTTGTGCAGAATCCTTCCCTGGTGTTCAGACCTGCCTCCGAGGAGGAAAACCAGTCGTCTACCTTGCAGCAGGTGGAGGAAGAGGAAGAAGAGAAAAACGATGATGAGGAGGAAGTGTGTGAGGGGAAGGAGAGCGAAGAGGAGGATGAAGAGGTGGAGGGTGAGGATGGAGAGGATGAAGAGGAGGATGGAGAGGATGAAGAAGAGGATGGTGAGGATGGAGAGGAGGAGGTCGAGGATGGAGAGGAAGAGGAGACCGATGGTGAAGAGGTCGAAGAAGCTGACTCCGAGGAGGAGGAGGGGGAGGAAGAGGAAGAAGAGGAGAAGATAGAGGAAGAGGAGGGGATGGAGGAGGATGACCAGAGAGAGGAAGAGAACCATTTGCCTCTGGAAATGCCTTTATCAATCCTAGTAGGGTCTGAAGAAGAAAGCGAGAACTTTATAAACTGTAATTATTTCAGCCCAAAGCAGATAAATCCCAAAGTACCACAGGAAACTCTCCTCATGGTACAGAACACTAACTGCTAGACATCAGGAAAGAGATTGAGGAATGAAATGGGACTGAATTGAGGCTAAAATGGATTAGCAACTTATTAAAAACTAATTCAAAAGTGAGTTCCATTAATAAACGTATGTAAGCCCCTTCTTTGGCTATTATAAAATGTTCAAAACTTGGTGTGTTTTGTGTATGACTATGGGTGGTCGAGAGGTTTATATTAAATCAAATACAATTAAATTGGAAATAATTAAAGGCCAACTATTTTATTACTAAGTACAATTTCAATATTTCCTTTTGGTATTTTCTACTCTAGACACGAGGTTTTTTTTTTTTGTTTTGTTATGTTTTTTTAAATTGTGGCAATGCTGAAAAAATGTTTTTGTAACAAAGATATGCCTTACCTACATATTGTGCTTGCAGTCAACAGATCTTTTGACTGGCAAATGTTTAAGAAATATATGTCATGGCTAGTGGATGTCCTCCATTGCTTTTGACATTGTAACTGAAGCCATTTTAAAATGCCTATTTTTTAAAAAGCTATTTTTCCTTGTAGATTTTGCACCTTCAGAGTTCATTTTTGAGGGTTGTATTTTGGTAACCCCATCTGCAGTCTCTTGTGGCATCGCTCATTCATATTCCTTGTTCCACAGTGCTATGGATCTTCCTCAGAAGAACATGGAGTTGCTTCTGTGGAACTGGTTATCTGCCATGGCCTCAACATTCCATAATCCATGCATGGAGAGGATTCCCCATGGTCAGAAGTCAACTTGTACATCTAGTTAAAATCCAAGGTAACTGCAAACAATGGAACATTGCTTAGATTTTGAAGCCCTGTTCCTGTATATATATTCCTTGTCATAAGTTCAGAGGAACCATAAAACTAGTTTTTGCAGAATGGATTTTTTTTTTTTAAGATTGGCCTTTCGGTGGTGGAATATCCTATTTTATATATTTCCCAGTTTGTCTTCCTTGTAAAGGAGAGTAAAACAAAAATGTGTGTGACCCTGTGTGAGTTGGTTTTTAATGAAGTTTAAACAGTCACCCACAGAGAATACATCATTCAAAATAATACCTTTTGTTCAAACATTTTTAGGAGGCAAGAATGCATTTCTTTCTAGGAACTTAAGTTTCATAATTTGATAAAAGGTTCCATACATAGCATATTCCTGGAATATTCATATATGAAAAAGTTTGAACATGCCTTCTCAAAAATTACCTCTTGTGACAAACTAAGTATAGTTTGAATCACAGCTTAGTATTGAATTGTTGAAGAGAAGACCGTAGCAGTGATGTCTTACCTGGATGTTGAATTTTACTGATATATCTCCATGTATGACATCTTTTGAGGTGGTAAGCTTAAGCTGTTAAATAAAAAGAAAAAAAGAAGTAATTAAAATATTAACTGAAAGTACCCTGCTTCTTGCTTCTCATTTAAATATCAGAAAACCAATCAGCAATACTTCAGTGGCCAACAGAACGAACAGAAGGAGAAATAAAACTGACACATTGTAGGAATTTTGAAATTGCATTACACACTCCAAATTATAGCAGTGAATAACCGAACATTAAATTATACTCTAAGAGCTCATTACTTTCTACAAGATGCATTTCTGAGTGATCTATAGTAAAGCAGTCTAAAATTGGCCATCCAAGAGTTTCTGGTCCTGTTCTAATATACGTATGTAACAGGAAACCAAGAATCACCCTCCTTATATTGATCAAATAATCACTAGGTCAAACTTAACTATGCTCTCGTTAAAGTTATCCTTTCATTTAGGGTTGGATTTCTTCACAATCCCATATGGACAATACTCAATTTATTGCGGTAAACAATTCTATTTTTAAATTAATTCAAAAGTTCAACACACATTAGTTGCCCCCATAGGTACAAAACATTAGCCACTAGTCCTAGTAAAGGATAAAAACGTGAGCAACAACTCAAAGAGTTTGCAGTCTAGTTCATAAATCCTTATTCAGCATATATCTACTGAGCCACCAGGTGCCAAGCACTGTGAATAGTATTAAGGATACAATGGTGAATAGGCAAAATCCCTACTCTCGTGTTGCTTACAGTATATTAGAGAAGACAGAACTTAAATGAAGAGTTAGGCAAATTAGTCACTATAACTATTATGAAGGAAATGTACCACCATGAAAGCATATCACAAGGCAACCTGAGATTGAAGCTCTTGACATTTACCGCAGACAAAAGGAATCATGGATCTGAAAGCTCAGAGCTGGGAGGAGCTTTGTGCTTTTGAGGAGGAACTGAAGACAGAAGTACAAAGTGATCTGAAGGAGTGATCAGTAAGAAATGAGAGAGAGGCAGAAGTTATATCTGCTCATTCATGCCCGTGCTATCTATACCTTTTGAAATAGACACCAGTAAAAATTAATAATAGGAGAAAACTATTAGTAATTGATGGTTCTCTACCTGAACTCATTTTATTAGCCAGACATTGTGACAGTTCCTTTCCTTTACTAATATGAAGTGATTAAGTCTGTCCTGGGGCAGAGTTGGTCATTCTAGTACACCCATCATTACAATTTGCAGACAGAGAACTCTCCAATTGCTATCACATGGTAAAGGAGTTATAGGGATTGTTGTTTAGCATGATTGGGGCACCATAGTTTTCAGCTCTCATGGAAAACTCCCGCAGTTTATTCATTATAACGTGATGATTTAGTGGAATTTAAAGTGTTAGTATAGCACAGAATAGACCAAGGCTTGGGTGGTGCAAATGGATAAGCACTCGGCTGTTAGCCAAAAGGTTGGTTTAAATGCACCCAGAGGTGCCTTCCAAAAGATCACAGCTATTGAAAACCTCTGAAACACAATGGGTCACCATGAGTTGGAATCGACTTCATGGCAATTGGTTCAGTTATGGTTTCTTAGTTTTAGAGGTAAGTGTATACTTGGAGAAAACTCATGATCTTCAAAACGTAATGCCAGAAATCAAGCTGCAATCACACAGTAATAATGAGATGTCATTAAACCATTTCTTTCAAGAGCAGAGGTATTTTCTTTCTGTCAATTTTCAAAAAAAAATTATAAACCTTAAATAATATTAAGAAGGTCTAGTCTTGATAAACATCTTTGCTGTCTATTCTGAGGTGTTTTTACACATGGAGATTTTGGTATTTTCCTTTCCTGGTGACTGACAGCATTTCTTGATTCATCTTGATTTCTTTGTCTCCACAGTAACGTAAAGGGATTTTTCTATGAAAATGTTAGCCCTCTAAGGATTATAAATATCCTTGACATTTAGAGATCAACTCTTAGTTCTGAGTTTGATTTCATAAAATTTTATAACATCTGTATATGAAGAAGACAGTCTATCTAACATTTTCCACTCCTTTAAAACATAAAGAAGAGGTAAAATAACCAATCTCCTGCCAGCTACCAAAAAAAACCCCTACAGAGTACGGGAAGTAAATGATACAATTCTCACATCATAGGCGACCGTGGGACAGAGAAGTGGAAAGGACTCAAAAAACAAGTTAAACTTTAATTTTAGCAGCACAATAACTTTACATAAGCATCTAAGTCGTTTACATTCAGACAAGTTCATATTAATACAGTAACACTTGAAAATCACCCTTAATACTTTCAAATCACTTTGGTCTTGTTATTATCTGAGTATTTAAAGCCAAATCATATTTTGGCTGTGTCTCAGCTATTTCAGAACTAGCATGGTTCTGCATCTATTTAGTGTTAGTCAATTAATGAAACATAGCCTAACATCAAGGTCAGCTGATGGAAGAGAAGAAAAGGGTTTAGGTATAGGGTGGGAGACCTGGATCCATGCCTTGGCACTGCTGCCTTACAGCTCCGTGAAGTAGTCACTTGCCTTGGGTCTCTCCCCTCAAACACAATGATTGTACTCCATCACCTCTTAGGCCTGTTGTGAAGACCAAATTAGCCAATATTTACGAAGAATTGCATTATAGATAATAAATCACTGTTAATCATTAGACCCTGTCACATTTTATAATTGGGCTCATCAGCTCAATTTCTGAATATTGGGTAACAAAGCCCGGATAAAACTCATCTCATTGCAATTCTGAGATATCCAGATATCTTAGTTGTTACCACTGAACCTTGCATGAACCAACTTGCCCTCAAAATGTTCCTTTGGTTTCGGGTGAAATAGTCTGCAAATGCAATGATCTGGTGTCTTGCTATTGAAAATGTGGTCCATGAATCAGCAGTATCAGCACCACCTGAGAGCTTGTTAGAACTACAGAATCTTAGACTCCCCCTGAATCTGCTGAAGTAGAATCTTCATTGTAACAAGATCCCTAGGTGATATGTATACATATTAAAGACCTAGCAGCATTGTGGTTTAGGATTAGATCCGTTGCAGAGGTCTCATGGGACCATAATGATAAAGACTGTGGTTTGTGGGCATTCTGTTTCTCTCCTCTTTACCCCTTTGGTGAGGAAGGGATTCCCACCCTAGGGAATCCTTTATGAGGATGGTTGAACCTACAACACCTGATACTGGACAGATGAGATTGACAGCAGTTTATTAGTCACATATACTCACACTTCAGGTGAGGAAGACACAGCATGCCATGTAGGGCTGCAGGGAGGTTGCATTCAGCAACAGAATGAGCAAGCAGAGGCTCTGGGAGGCAAACTTTGTAGTAATAAGAGGGTGGGGTGATCCCTGGTTCCGACTGGAGAATATAATATACTAATTTGAATATAATTCTGGGAAATGGCAGGGAACTAAAGCCTGCTACTCAAGGATAAGTAGGCACTACACTTAGTACCTGTGATAAGGAGGATTGTTTAACTAGGGAATCTTATCCAAGGGAGCAGAGGAGGAGGGTAACTTGTGGTTAGGCCATTTGAGGGCCTCCTGTTTTACCAGATGTCAAGGTAGCACTTTATATTAAACCTTAATTTCAGACCCTACACTGCAGTGCATGTTACTGAAATTTTGTCTACTCATTTTCCTCATATGTGGTGTCTAATTCATGGACTTAAATCAGATCATGAGAATTAAATGAGCCAATAGTA